AGTGCTGGCTAGATGTAGCTTCTATGTCAACATTTTCTTTACTCACATTTCTCGCTTTTGGAACTCCATTCCAGCTCCATGCTTTCCAGTTAACTTTGGTTTTCCAAAATTTAAATGCAATGTCAATCAATATCTACTGTTCTTCTGATTACTTTTTTCTCTTCCCGCTCATTATTAATGTTTCTGTTCTTAATTCTTCCACACTCTATAAACCCTTGTGTCTTAGTGGCTTTACTGCCTTTCATGAGGAGAAACTGATTAAAAATGAAAGAAAAGCAGCTCTTCTCTTTCTAAAACCCTTTCACTTGGTCCTGAATAAATTTTTGTTGCGTGAACATTTGTGTAGCTAAACTGTGCTCCAACATAGCTAAACTATTTTATAATAAGACCATTTTATAATCCAACCATTTGGATGATTTGACAACAAACATCTGAGAATTAAATTTAATTCACTCACTAGACAATACTTTAAAAATGAGTGTGACAAAATTATGTCCTTCAATTACAATCATATGATGTTATTGTTCTATATACTTATGTATTACCGAGGACAGCAATTGAACTCACAACCACCAGCTAATAGAAACTAATGCTTTGTTGTTGTTGTTGGATTGGCCTGTCTCACCTGTTCTTTGTAATGGGTTCTGCCATGGAGCTCAATATAAGCCCAAGGTATTTCTTTCAGAGAGTGAGCATCCATTTGCCTGGGCCCTGGTTTGTTTTTTTCCATCTCAATTGGGTCAGTTTTCCCATAGTCATATTTATTTTATCCTTCCTTCTCCCTTAGCAAGAGAGCCTATGATACTGGATGAATTTTTGTGGTGGATGTGCAAATTGTAATGGATGAATGAGTTGTGAATCTGATTAGCTAGGTATAAGATAGTGTTGACTAACCTCAACCCATTCCTCCTTTTAGTTCTTGTATCACAATTGTATCTTATATACAATAAATATTGAACATTCATTTGCCTGGTGAATCCCTGACAGACCACTTCACCATTGGTAGCATAGCATAGTTCCTGATATTAAGTAGTGATGGCCTCTCTTAATCAACCACCAGTATTCAACCCTGGCCATGGTGATTCATTTAAAGACTAGAAAGCAGATGTAGAAGTTTGGAGATTATTTACAAAGAATGAAAAGCAATGAAACTTCACAACTCCACTTGCTAATGCATCAAAAGAGAGACTGATTTGCTTGTTAAAAAAATGGTGGATGTAAAGATAAAGAATTTTTGCTTGAAGTAGAGAAATGCTGTGATATGTATGAGCTACAGACATCCTAAACCAAAACCAATTGTTGCTCTACCAAAAGTGGACAGATTCATTAAGGTTGTCTATATACACCTCAAGGAAGTTACTAAAGAAAATTCTCGATCTTACACTTGGGGAACTGTGCTGCAAGATATTCAAAATCAAAGAAGAAAGAAAGGTAGAGGGTTACCTTAAGAGGCAATTTGTGCAGATAGGAGAGGAAGATAACAGTTAATCTTAGAATTGAACAGGTTAAGACTGTAGTATTACTGTTTTATATACTTATATATTGCCCAGCATAGGAATTGAACATACAACAACCAGCTAATAGAAACTAATTCTTTTTTTGTTGTTGGATTGATCTATCTTACCTGTTCTTTGTAACGGGTTCTGCCATGGAACTCAATATAAGCCCAAGGTATTTCTTCCAGAGAGTGTATTGTTTTGATGTGAGGAATACTGTGGCATGTTTGTGTTAGTAATTGTGGTGAGCTAGGTTTAATTATAAGACAATAAGACTACCCTTCCCCATCCCCACTTTTTTGGCCCTGTGCCACATTAATGTACTTTTACATTAATTTGCCCAGTGAATCCCTGACAGACTATTTCAGCATATGATATATTCATTAAAGCATTGTAATAAAAAAAATGAAATTAACTAAATTCATTATTGATATATATATATAAAAAATGTTTTCTCTCTTGTATAGCCATATTAACAGAAAGAATCAATCATACTGTCACAGTGAATCTGTAGTGAAACATCAGTATAGCATGAAGAAATAGACACATGACAAAAAATTACTGTCAGTAATTGACATTAATTTTCAACATGTCTCCATTTCTTTATGGTCTACTTAAATTCTGTATCACAAGGAAATTGTTTATGTAGTGCAACTTCATTACAAAGTGCCAATTATAAATCTTTCCTCCAAAAAGTATTTATTACCTTTAATAAAAATAGTGCATTTCTTGAATGCTGCAAAAGATATTTTCCACCAGTTGTGCTGCAATGAACTGTTCTTAGAATTCTCTCTACTTATATAAGTTGAACTTTAAATTCTACAGTTGTCAGTCTGTTGCTTTCAATAGTTTAAACACAGTATTCTTCAACAGTTGCCTTCTGCAAGTGCATTCTTTCTTCATGCAAACACTTTCCTCTTTCAAGTAGTTATACCATGGTCTTTCAAATACAACTTCCTACATAAATCACCTTGCTATATATATATATATATATATATATATATATATATATATATATATCGAGGAGGCACGATGGAGTAATGGATAGCGGCTTGGATTGAGGAATCGCAGGGCCGAGTTCAAATTCCAGTCGAATCCATTACATTCACTAATGCTAATACCCTTGGGAAAGATATGAATCCTCTTCCTCTCCCTCCAACTATGGATAAAATAGCAGGACAGACCGGGTTCTATAGCCTTGGATGGCAACTGGTCTAGGAGAAGGACAACTCTGAATTCAAAACCTGCGGAGGGTTGTTTGGGAACCTTGTGGCATTCAGTGCACCAGGTCTCTGTATTCGTCCCTTCAAAAAGTGTGGATGGTCCTGCACGAGGCCTTCACCACTATAATCAAATCTCATGTGCCGTTGTCGGGCAGTCGGTTTCCTGGAAACTGATCTGCTTGACCCTCATATGTTGAATCTCAATGGGAGAGTCGATTATGTATATATATATATATATATATATATATATATATATATATATTTCTGGTAGTCTGCTGTTAATTTGGATCTATCTTTGAAGCTAAAATTTGAATGCCAAAATAAGTGCATTCTAACTAGCATATAAACTGATTACTGGCCACTTCTGTTTTATAGATATAGATATATAGGATTAATACAAATAAAATTTGTAACTTAGCTGATTGGTGTTATATTCAACACTTTGAGTCTAGAGTTTAAGAGAAGAACATTTTTCATATTGTTCAATGCACTCTTCAGGAAGTTTCAGCAATTATCTCCCGTTTTCTTTAAAGTAATTGGAAGATGTCTGTCTGTGAGTGTGTATGCTATTTATGCACATCCACATTTCTTGTACCAATTTTGATGAAATTGTACACACATGTTGCAAATTTACCAAAATAGATCAAGACTGGTTTTATAATCATAAGGTCCCCCTGGTTTGGCAGGAAAATTGATGAAACTGAAGGTGGGTATGATTTTTTGCAAAACCAACGCAAAGTTACACGTGAACAAAATTTTTGCTGGATATTCTTTGCACTTAATGAAAAACATAGATCATGTTATGAAGTGTATATAGAGTGCTTGATAGTTTTCCTGTGACATTGGCTTCACAAAAAAATTGCAAAAAACTGTGAAAAAATTGGGTTTTTCATACTACTTAAAATAAAAACTTGAAAAACTACCTCATTTTTTATCCAATTTTCTTCAAACATATTGCAAAAAATTTGCCATCATGCAAAAAATAAAATGGTTTAAGTCCTGCCCACATATAATAAAAAACAATTAAAAACTGTTCAAAAGGCCTGTTTTTTCAGCCATAACTCCCTGGTTTTTCATCCGATGCTTTCCAAATTTGCCATGTAAATTATGTATGACACAACTTATCTTGTGTGAATGTTTGGTTTAGATTATTTCAGTTAAGTGGATAAAATCTGTGATAAACTAGGTCTAAAATTGGCTTTGGCCATTTAGTCAATAGTTTTTCATATGATTCCATCTTCAAACAACCTTTGACGCAAAGATTGTTTGAGAACGATTATTGAAGCTTTAGAAGGGAGGATTTCATACATTTGCACTTGTAGTTGAATCAAGCTCTGATGCTTCATCCCTGTTTTTGTTTGATTATTAGATTTGTGAACAGTGCCATACTATTTAAAAGTTGTTATGGCCATAGGAAATCTACTGAATATCTAAAACATTGAAACATTGAAACAATTTAGCCCCAAGCAATGACCACACAAGAAGGTTTCATTGATCAAATTCCTTTATTAAGAACAATCAAACACTTGCAAAGGACATAGCATAAAAAAGATGAAAGGAGTAGCTTAGTATAACAATGGATGATACATGCAAGTGGGGATGCAGACAGTATGTGTGGGTATACTTGGTGTGAGGTTATACAATTGCAACCATAGTCTGTCTATATTTCTGAGATGAGGTATTATGTACATTATTTACATTATTTGGACTATTGTCCTCATCTTTGTCACCATATTTATTACAACGTACCGCCCTTTCAGTATCTGTCTATATTTCTGAGATGAGGTAGTATGTACATTATTTATATTATTTGGACTATTGTCCTCATCTTTGTCACTATATTTATCACAACGTTTCGGCCGTTGTACGCTCCGGCCTTCTTCAGGTGGTTGGAATGTCGAACTGAACACTTTATTTCGCTCACTGGCGTAGACTGTTGTAGTTTCACGTGCCATGTTTAATGGATGTCAGTTATCAGTTATCTCCTGCTAATTTCCCTCTGAAAGTTTATATATATATATATATATATATTTCTGGTATTCTGCTACTAATTGCAGCTCTAATTGAAGCCAACATTTTTCTGTAAAGGATGACATTTTGCGACAATACATATTTTCACTTACCGGATTCAAAGCATCCAAGATGTTTTGCTTGTTGAGCTGCTGTTTTATGATGGATATGTGCATAAAACCAAGCTAGACAGTTCGTCATTTCGTCAGCTACATCCTTTTCTCTCGCAAGTTTGGTCCAAGAAAAGTACATTCTCCCACATTTGTTTATATTATGCCGCTTGGCATGATTTGTCTAATGGTGGTCTGCATTGCTGATTGCATGCTGATGCGGTCTGCAAGCTGGGGACTCTGACTGAGAACGAGGTCAACAGCGATAATTGGTGCGTTGGCCGTATTTTTGGTCAATAAAACAAGTCTGGGGCATTGGCTGGCTGTGCAGCTGGGACCATGGTGACATGCAGTGTTATAGAGATTCGTATTAAGTTACGACTCTGTTTATTTTTGTCTGGAAGCTGGATGCTAGCTTTGAACCTACCGCTAGCGTGAGCGGTGTAATTACCGGTGTTTACCAAAACGTGGGAGGAACACACTGAACCGCAACACGTTTTTACATGCATGTTTTATTTGTTGATTGTATTTTTCTGTTTTTCTGCACAGTTAAATTCACTTTCTCACAAGTAAGTGAAAACATGTTTCTTGTAAAAAACAAGAAAAAAGAAAGGAATTAAAGTTGTTGGTGGGATTAAGGTGTAATGTAATTGTCTACATTTGGGTTCAGGAGTAGCTAAGGACAGGAACAAGAGAAAAATAAAGTGACATATTTTTGGTATTCTCCTAAATGTTCAAGCTCACTCCTTACTTAGTCAGAATCACATCTTCCCAAGTTAAAACTTTACAATGACACCCAGTTAGTTAGATACATGTCCATTCATAATTAGATGGTCACATCTAATCTTCTGATAGGTATTTCCTCAGTGCTATAGGCCTACAGTAACCCCATAGGAAATGGAGGTAGGAGATACCAGCTCATGCCTAAGCAGCCTTTGTGATCCCAACTTCTTCTAATGGATTCTTTAGTCTTACTGTAGCCAAAATAAAACATCACAAAATCAGAGAGCCATATAGTTGCAAATCCAATCTTCCAGCCGTCTGCTTCCTTTTGTCCTTTTGTTTACTGCCACTGAATTGATCCATGTTCATACATTAATACATTACTTGGTTGTGCTGCCTATTAGGTTATTCCATCTCCCAGTAAGCAGCACAATCAAGTAAAATATCAACTCTTTTCTGTTATAAATGATGGAACGAGCCTTTGTATCATGAAGCTAATGGCATCAGCAGGTGCTCACCTTCAGTCAGTATGTGGATTTCTTATGCACGCCTACCAAACAAGGGAGCATGTCTTGGTGGCTGGGCCTCCCATTCAAGCATGATGTTTCTGACTGATTCCTAGTCAAAAAACCTCATTTAGCAACCATCTACCTTGAGTAGCTCTTGGTCTTTGTGTCGGGTGAAAAGTATTAAAACAGAAAAAAGAACTTACAAGGAGCTGCTGCTATGTTCAAAATTTCAAACAAGGAAGCATGTCTTGGTGTCTGGGCCTCCCATTCAAGCACGATGTTTCTGACTGATCAATAGTCAAAAACCTCATTAAACAACACTCTACCTTGAGTGGCTCTTGATCTTTGTGTTGGGTGAAAAGTATTAAAAAAAGAAAAAAGTACTTACAAGGAGCTGCTGCTATGTCTTGGTGTCTGGGCCTCCCATTCAAGCATGATGTTTCTGACTGATTCCTAGTCAAAAACCTCATTTATCAATCATCTACCTTGAGTGGCTCTTGGTTTTTGTATAGGGTGAAAAGTATTAAAAAAGAAAAAAGTACTTACAAGGAGCTGCTGCTATGTTCAAAATTTCAAACAAGGGAGCATGTCTTGGTGGCTGGGCCTCCCATTCAAGCATGATGTTTCTGACTGATTCCCAGTCAAAAACCTCATTTAGCAACCCTCTACCTTGAGTGGCTCTTGGTTTTTGTATAGGGTGAAAAGTATTAAAAATGAAAAATTACTTACAAGGAGCTGCTGCTATGTTTAAAATTTCAAACAAGGGAGCATGTCTTGGTGTCTGGGCCTCCTATTCAAGCATGATGTTTCTGACTGATTCCTAGTCAAAAACCTCATTTAGCAACCCTCTACCTTGAGTGGCTCTTGGTCTTTGCGTTGGGTGAATAGTATTAAAAAAGAAAAACGTGCTTACAAGGAGCTGCTGCTACGTTCAAAATTTAATGAGGTAAGATCGAACAATAATAAGAAAAGAATTAAAAATCTCAACTATCCTTCTTGGGTTCTCAAATGTCAAAGAATCTGCAAAATTTTTAATTGCCTGAACTTGAGGCCTGCATAATCGTCATTGTTCCATAGTTTGAACAACTGAAAGATGGTAGTTGTAGTTCAAATATGATTTGAAAAAAATGAATGTCAGCTTAAATATTGCTACATAAAATGATATCAATACAAAAATATGATTACTCTCTTGTTGGTGAACCTTGACAATAAAAATGTCACATATGCAAATAAGGCCACGACAAAAATATATTGAAAACAAAAAATAAAGGAAATTGGCAATAATGCTTTTTCTTTACAATATAAAAACGGAACAATCTGACGTCATGTATAGACATGGCTGGAATTTCAACTTGGCTGATGAATAGATTCTTTTTTTGTGGATAATCAAATGTTACCTGTACATCCTACCAACATCAGTCACATACAAGCATTATTTAGCACCCACATATTCTAATTCTACTTCTTGTTGTTAGTAAGTTAGCATATGCATTATACTCTGACATTACCTCAGATAAATAATGGACCATTTCATTTTGATTGTGAAGAATTAGGAAATAAAAGATATATCAGAGAACATATTTGGTTTTGAGAACAACAAAGACAGAAGGAAGGAAGGAAGACAGCCAGAAAAAATGACAAACAAAAGAAAAAAAAAGACAGAAGACAGAAAGACATACATAGAGAAAAAAAAGAGAGATAAACATAGATAAGAAAGAGAGAAGAAAGAAAGGAAGACAGTCAGAAGAAAGACAGATGGAAAAAAGATGGACAGAAGAAAAGCAGGCATCCATAAATAAGAAAGAAAGCAGGAAGGAAGGCAGAGAGCCAGGAGAAAGACAGACAAACATAGAAAAGAAAGACAGAAACATGTAGAGAAGATTGACATAAAGATGGAAGACAGACATACATAGAGAAGAAAGTTTGATAGAAGGAAGATTGCTAGAAGAAAGACAGATAGATAGACAGAAGAAAGGTAGACATACATAGAGAAGAAAGAAAGAAGGAAGGAAGAAAGACATTCAGAAGAAAGAGCCAGATAAAGAGAGACAGAAAAAAAACAGACAGACATAGAAAAGAAAGATAGAATGAAGGAAGACAGACAACCAGAAGTTAGGCAGATGGTAGAAAGACAAACAGAAGAAAAACAGACATACATAGTGAAGGAAGACAGAAGGAAGGAAGGAAGGAAGGAAGACATCCAGAAGAAAGAGCCAGAAAAAGAGAGACAGAAGAAAGATAGACAGACATAGAAAAGAAAGATAGAATGAAGGACGAAAGACAACCAGAAGTTAGACAGATGGTAGAAAGACAAACAGAAGAAAAACAGACATACGTAGAGAAGGAAAACAGAATGAAGCAAGAATGACATCTAGAAAAAAGACATCTAGAAGAAAGACAGACAGAAGGACATAGAATTAGAGAAAAATGACAGACATACATAGAGAAGTAAGGCAAAAGGAAGGAAGTAAGACATGCAGAAGAAAGACAGACGGTAGAAAGACACCCAGAAGAAAAACAAATGGAAGAAAGAGAGACAGAAGAAAGACAGATATCCATACAAAAGAAAGATACAAGGAAGGAAGAATAGAAAAAGAAGAAATACAGACAGGAGAAATACAGACATACATAGAGAAGAAAGACAGAAAGAAAGATGGAAGAAAGGAAAGAAGGAAGGAAGAGAGTCAAAAGAAAGACAGACGGAAGAAGGACTGACATAAGAAATATAGATATACATAGAGAAGAAAGACAAACATACATAGTGAAGAAAGAGAGAAGGAAGAAAGAATGAGAGCTAGAAGAGAGACAAATGGAAGGAGCAAAAACTGATGAATGTCCGACATACATAGAGAAAAATGACTGAAGGAAGGAAGTCAGCCAGAAGAAGACAAGCAGAAGAAAAAACAAAGACTGACCTTCATACATAAGAAAGTGAGAAAGAAGGGAGATGGAGAAGCAGAAGAAAGACAAACTGAAGACAGACAGACAGACAGACAGAAGAGAGACAAATATACAATGAGAAAAAAGATAGATATACACAGAGAAGAAAGACAGAAGGAAGGAAGTCAGACGCAAGAAGGTTGACAGAAGAAAGTCAGACAACCAAGAGATGAGAGACGACAGACATACGTAGAGAAGAAAGAACGAAGAAAGGAAGAAAGACAGTAAGCAAAGAGACAGGTGAAAGAAGGCAGGAAAAAGAAAGACAGACATACATAGAGAAGAAAGGAAGACAGAAGGAAGGAAGAGAGCTAGAAGAAAGACAGATGGAAGAAAGAATAACAGGAGAAAAAGAGACATACATAGAGAAGAAAGACAGACATAGAGAAGAAAGACAGACATACATTTAGAAGACTAACAGAGGGAAGGATGAAAGAGAGTCACGAGAAAGACAGACAGAAGTAAGAAAGACATACATAGAGAAGAAAGACAGACATACATTTAGAAGACTAACAGAGGGAAGGATGAAAGAGAGTCACAAGAAAGACAGACGGAAGTAAGAAAGACATACATAGAGAAGAAAGACAGACATACATTTAGAAGACTAACAGAGGGAAGGATGAAAGAGAGTCACGAGAAAGACAGACAGAAGTAAGAAAGACAGACATAGAGAAGAAAGACAGACATACATTTAGAAGACTAACAGAGGGAAGGATGAAAGAGAGTCACGAGAAAGACAGACAGAAGTAAGAAAGACATACATAGAGAAGAAAGACAGACATACATTTAGAAGACTAACAGAGGGAAGGATGAAAGAGAGTCATGAGAAAGACAGACAAGACATAAGAAAAGACATACATAGAGAAGAAAGTCAGACATACATTTAGAAGACTAACAGAGGGAAGGATGAAAGAGAGTCACAAGAAAGACAGACGGAAGTAAGAAAGACATACATAGAGAAGAAAAACAGACATACATTTAGAAGACTAACAGAGGGAAGGATGAAAGAGAGTCACGAGAAAGACAGACGGAAGTAAGAAAGACATACATAGACAAGAAAGACAGACATACATTTAGAAGACTAACAGAGGGAAGGATGAAAGAGAGTCACGAGAAAGACAGACGGAAGTAAGAAAAGACATACAGAGAGAAGAAAGACAGACATACATTTAGAAGACTAACAGAGGGAAGGATGAAAGAGAGTCACAAGAAAAGACAGACGGAAGTAAGAAAGACATACATAGAGAAGAAAGACAGACATACATTTAGAAGACTAACAGAGGGGAAGGATGAAGGATGAACAGATTGGAAGAAAGACATCACGAGAAAAAAGACAGACATTTAGAAGACTAAAGAGGAAGAAAAGACATACATAGAGAAGAAAGACAGACATACATTTAGAAGACTAACAGAGGGAAGGATGAAAGAGTCACGAGAAAGACAGACGGAAGTAAGAAAAGACATACATAGAGAAGAAAGACAGACATACATTTAGAAGACTAACAGAGGGAAGGATGAAAGAGAGTCACGAGAAAGACAGACAGAAGTGAGAAAGACATACATAGAGAAAGAAAGACAGACATACATTTAGAAGACTAACAGAGGGAAGGATGAAAGAGAGTCACGAGAAAGACAGACGAAGAAAAAGACAGGCAGAAAGAAAGAAAGACATACATTTAGAAGAAACAGAAGGAGAAAGACATTTAGAAAGACAACAGAAGGAAGGACATAAAGAGAAAAAGTCAGACATAGAAAAGACAGACGGAAGGATGAAAAGAAAAAGACATACATAGAAAGAATACAGAAAGACAGACATACATTTAGAAGACTAACAGATGGAAGGATGAAAGAGAGTCACGAGAAAGACAGACGGAAGTAAGAAAGACATACATAGAGAAGAAAAACAGACATACATTTAGAAGACTAACAGAGGGAAGGATGAAAGAGAGTCATGAAAGAGAGAAAGAAAGACACGAAGTAAGAAAGACATACAGACATTTTAGAAGACGGAAGTAAGAAAGAGACATACATAGAGAAGAAAGACAGACATACATTTAGAAGACTAACAGAGGAAAGGATGAAAGAGAGTCACGAGAAAGACAGACGGAAGTAAGAAAGACATACATAGAGAAGAAAGACAGACATACATTTAGAAGACTAACAGAGGGAAGGATGAAAGAGAGTCAAAAAGAGGAGAAAAAGACAGACATTTAGAAGACTAAGAAAGACATACATAGAGAAGAAAGACAGACATACATTTAGAAGACTAACAGAGGGGAAGGATGAAAGAGAGTCAGGAGAAAGACAGGCGGAAGTAAGAAAGACATACATAGAGAAGAAAGACAGACATACATTTAGAAGACTAACAGAGGGAAGGATGAAAGAGAGTCATGAAAAGACAGACAAGTGAAAGACAGACATAGAGAAGAAAGACAGACATACATTTAGAAGACTAACAGAGGGAAGGATGAAGAGTCACGAAAAAGACAAGTGAGAAAAAGACATACATAGAGAAGAAAGACAGACATACATTTAGAAGACTAACAGAGGGAAGGATGAAAGAGAGTCACGAGAAAGACAGACGGAAGTGAGAAAGACATACATAGAGAAGAAAGACAGACATACATTTAGAAGACTAACAGAGGGAAGGATGAAAGAGAGTCACGAGAAAGACAGACGGAAGTAAGAAAGACATACATAGAGAAGAAAGACAGACATACATTTAGAAGACTAACAGAGGGAAGGATGAAAGAGAGTCACGAGAAAGACAGACGGAAGTGAAAAGACATACATAGAGAAGAAAGACAGACATACATTTAGAAGACTAACAGAGGGAAGGATGAAAGAGAGAAAGACAGACGGAAGAATACATAGACAAAGACAGACATACATTTAGAAGACTAACAGAAAGGATGAAAGAAAGAAAGACATACAAGTAAAGACATACATAGAGAAGAAAGACAGACATTTTAGAAGACTAACAGAGGGAAGGATGAAAGAGAGTCAGGAGAAAGACAGGCGGAAGTAAGAAAGACATACATAGAGAAGAAAGACAGACATACATTTAGAAGACTAACAGAGGGAAGGATGAAAGAGAGTCACGAGAAAGACAGACGGAAGTAAGAAAGACATACATAGAGAAGAAAAGACAGACATACATTTAGAAGACTAACAGGGAAGGATGAAAGAGAGTCACGAAAAAGACAGACATAAGATATACATAGAGAAGAAAGACAGACATACATTTAGAAGACTAACAGAGTGAAGGATGAAAGAGAGTCAGGAGAAAGACAGGCGGAAGTAAGAAAGACATACATAGAGAAGAAAGACAGACATACATCTAGAAGACTAACAGAGGAAGGATGAAAGAGAGTCACGAGAAAGACAGGCGGAAGTAAGAAAGACATACATTTAGAAAGACAGACATACATTTAGAAGACTAACAGAGGAAGGATGAAAGAGAGACAGGAGAAAAACAGGCGGAAGTAAGAAAGACATACATTGAGAAGAAAGACAGACATACATTTAGAAGACTAACAGAGTGAAGGGATGAAAGAGAGTCACTAAGTAAGAAAGACATACATTGAGAAGAAAGACAGACATACATTTAGAAGACTAACAGAGGGAAGGATGAAGAGTCACGAGAAAGACAGACGAGTGAAGACAAGAGAAGAAAGACAGACAGACAGACATTTAGAAGACTAACAGAGGGAAGGATGAAAGAGAGTCACGAGAAAAACAGACGGAAGTAAGAAAGACATACATAGAGGAGAAAGTCAGACATACATTTAGAAGACTAACAGAGGGAAGGATGAAAGAGAGTCAGGAGAAAGACAGACGGAAGTAAGAAAGACATACATAGAGAAGAAAGACAGACATACATTTAGAAGACTAACAGAGGGAAGGATGAAAAAGAGTCACGAGAAAGACAGACGGAAGTAAGAAAGACATACATAGAGAAGAAAGACAGACATACATTTAGAAGACTAACAGAGGGAAGGATGAAAGAGAGTCACGAGAAAAACAGACGGAAGTAAGAAAGACATACATATAGAAGAAAGACAGATATACATTTAGAAGACTAACAGAGGGAAGGATGAAAGAGAGTCACGAGAAAGACAGACGGAAGTAAGAAAGACATACATAGAGAAGAAAAGACAGACATACATTTAGGAAGACTAACAGAGGGAAGGATGAAAGAGAGTCAGGAGAAAGACAGGGCGGAAGTAAGAAAGACATACATAGAGAAGAAAGACAGACATACATTTAGAAGACTAACAGAGGGAAGGATGAAAGAGAGTCACGAGAAAGACAGGCGGAAGTAAGAAAGACATACATAGAGAAGAAAGACAGACATACATTTAGAAGACTAACAGAGGGAAGGATGAAAGAGAGTCAGGAGAAAGACAGGCGGAAGTAAGAAAGACATACATAGAGAAGAAAGACAGACATACATTTAGAAGACTAACAGAGGGAACGATGAAAGAGAGTCAGGAGAAAGACAGGCGGAATTAAGAAAGACATACATAGAGAAGAAAGACAGACATACATTTAGAAGACTAACAGAGGGAAGGATGAAAGAGAGTCACGAGAAAGACAGGCGGAAGTAAGAAAGACATACATAGAGAAGAAAGACAGACATACATTTAGAAGACTAACAGAGGGAAGGATGAAAGAGAGTCACGAGAAAGACAGGCGGAAGTAAGAAAGACATACATAGAGAAGAAAGTCAGACATACATTTAGAAGACTAACAGAGGGAAGGATGAAAGAGAGTCAGCAGAAAGACAGGCGGAAGTAAGAAAGACATACATAGAGAAGAAAGACAGACATACATTTAGAAGACTAACAGAGGGAAGGATGAAAAGAGAGTCACGAGAAAAGACAGGCGAAGTAAGAAAGACATACATAGAGAAGAAAGACAGACATACATTTAGAAGACTAACAGAGGGAAGGATGAAAGAGAGTCACGAGAAAAACAGACGGAAGTAAGAAAGACATACATAGAGAAGAACGACAGAAAGAATGAACAATGACAGAAAGAATGAACAAAGACAGAAGACAGGCAAAAGGAAGACAGACAGAAGAAAGACAGACATACATTTAGAAGACTAACAGAGGGAAGGATGAAAGAGAGTCACGAGAAAGACAGGCGGAAGTAAGAAAGACATACATAGAGAAGAAAGACAGACATACATTTAGAAGACTAACAGAGGGAAGGATGAAAGAGAGTCAGGAGAAAGACAGGCGGAAGTAAGAAAGACATACATTGAGAAGAAAGACAGACATACATTTAGAAGACTCACAGAGGGAAGGATGAAAGAGAGTCAGGAGAAAGACAGGCGGAAGTAAGAAAGACATACATAGAGAAGAAAGACAGACATACATTTAGAAGACTAACAGAGGGAAGGATGAAAGAGAGTCACGAGAAAGACAGACGGAAGTAAGAAAGACATACATAGAGAAGAAAGACAGACATACATTTAGAAGACTAACAGAGGGAAGGATGAAAGAGAGTCAGGAGAAAGACAGGCGGAAGTAAGAAAAGACATACATAGAGAAGAAAGACAGACATACATTTAGAAGACTAACAGAGGGAAGGATGAAAAGAGTCACGAGAAAGACAGACGGAAGTAAGAAAGACATACATAGAGAAGAAAGACAGACATACATTTAGAAGACTCACAGAGGGAAGGATGAAAGAGAGTCAGGAGAAAGACAGACGGAAGTAAGAAAGACATACATAGAGAAGAAAGACAGACATACATTTAGAAGACTAACAGAGTGAAGGATGAAAGAGAGTCAGGAGAAAGACAGGCGGAAGTAAGAAAGACATACATTGAGAAGAAAGACAGACATACATTTAGAAGACTAACAGAGGGAAGGATGAAAGAGAGTCACGAGAAAGACAGACGGAAGTAAGAAAGACATACATAGAGAAGAAAGACAGACATACATTTAGAAGACTAACAGAGGGAAGGATGAAAGAGAGTCACGAGAAAAACAGACGGAAGTAAGAAAGACATACATAGAGAAGAAAGACAGAAAGAATGAACAATGACAGAAAGAATGAACAAAGACAGAAGACAGGCAAAAGGAAGACAGACAGAAGAAAGACAGACATACATTTAGAAGACTAACAGAGGGAAGGATGAAAGAGAGTCACGAGAAAGACAGGCGGAAGTAAGAAAGACATACATAGAGAAGAAAGACAGACATACATTTAGAAGACTAACAGAGGGAAGGATGAAAGAGAGTCAGGAGAAAGACAGGCGGAAGTAAGAAAGACATACATTGAGAAGAAAAGACAGACATACATTTAGAAGACTAACAGAGGGAAGGATGAAAGAGAGTCACGAGAAAAAGACAGACGGAAGTAAGAAAGACATACATAGAGAAGAAAGACAGACATACATTTAGAAGACTCACAGAGGGAAGGATGAAAGAGAGTCAGGAGAAAGACAGACGGAAGTAAGAAAGACATACATAGAGAAGAAAGACAGACATACATTTAGAAGACTAACAGAGTGAAGGATGAAAGAGAGTCAGGAGAAAGACAGGCGGAAGTAAGAAAGACATACATTGAGAAGAAAGACAGACATACATTTAGAAGACTAACAGAGGGAAGGATGAAAGAGAGTCACGAGAAAGACAGACGGAAGTAAGAAAGACATACATAGAGAAGAAAGACAGACATACATTTAGAAGACTAACAGAGGGAAGGATGAAAGAGAGTCACGAGAAAAACAGACGGAAGTAAGAAAGACATACATAGAGAAGAAAGACAGAAAGAATGAACAATGACAGAAAGAATGAACAAAGACAGAAGACAGGCAAAAGGAAGACAGACAGAAGAAAGACAGACATACATAGAGAAGAAAAACATCATGAAGGAAGAATGACAGCTAGAGCAATGACAGATTAAAGAAAGGCTGTCAGAAGAAAGACATACATATATAGAGAATAAAGACAGAAAGAAGGAAGGAAGACATCCGGAAGAAAGACCCAGAAAAAGAGAGACAGAAGAAAGACAGACATCCATAGATAAGAAAGTGAGAAGGAAGGAAGACGGAGAGCTAGAAGAAAAACAGATGGAAGAAAAACAGAAGAAAGACAGACATGCATATGGAAGAAAGCAAAGAAAATCAGACTCACATAGAGAAGAAAGTTAGAAGTAAGGAAGGTAGACAGCCAGAAGAAAGATGGAAAAAAAGACAGATAGAAGAAAGACAGACATACAGAAGGAAGAAGGAAGGAAGGAAGGAAGACAGATAAAAGGAAGTCAGATGGAAGAAAGACAGACAGACAAAAGACACCCAAAATAAATATATCCAGCCATACAGACAAAAAGAAAGACAGTGACACAACCAGTGAGAAGAACGATAGCCTGATAGACAGACAGAAAAAAGAAAAGGAAAGAGAAAATGATAAATCTATTAGTGCTTATTGTCTGCTTCACTGAAATAGAAGAAAGAAAAAGATATCACAAGTGGTAACACCATCAAGGGCTTGATGTTTACCTCAGTAAAATAGAAGACATTGTCCTTTTTTAAAAATCTTTTCATTCTTATTTTTACTTTAAATAATGACCTACACTCATAATTATGATCATTATTGTAATATATCTATAAAGTTGTGTGGCTCAAATATTTAGCAATAGAATAAAATGATTTCCAAGGAAATTTTATATAGTCATGAAAATTGCAAGGAATTTCAATTATTAAATTAAAAACTGTTTCCTCAGAAAATTCAAAACCTAAGAAAATTTTCACAATTACTTTAAGTACACATTAATAACACTCGTGATCTTTACACATTTCCTTTTATCTCTTATGTGAGCAGAGGATCAACTTGAATAATGTCTTTGCTCAGCAAACTTGACCCTGATGTCTTTATTTTTTTATTTTTTGTAAGTTTCTTGTACCAGAAAGTGTTTTTCATTGACAAAATGAATGAAATCAAACTTCTACCAAGTGGACTCCAGCCTGGAGTAAATCAATTTAAGGCAAACAAAAATTATGCGTTCAGCCGCAAGAAATAAACAAATGTAGGTTAAAATGGGTGTGCTGTACACTTCTCTAAATTAATGAACCTCATTTCTCTCTAGGCACTTCTCAATTCACTTTCACTTGTCATTGCCACAAATATTGGTGTCTATTTGATTATCTGTTATGGGACTTTACCCATAATAACATAATGGACTATTCCATACATAATAAATACTGCGCCTCAAGAGGAAGCAGGGAGTTCAGTTTGAAGTTTGGAGTGAGGTCCGTCAGAAATCCGTCAGGAGTCTGTCATTCAGTCAGAGCGAGCGAGTCAGTCAGTCGAGTCAGAGGGAGTCTGAAACAGAGTCACGTTCAGACAATTACTACTAAACCTGATTGTTTGTACTAACACTTTCTACTTCTCTGTATATATTCCTGTTTGTAATATATCTGTGTTATTCCATATCCGTGTTCGAGTTCTTCTTTATTGGTTCTACCTTGGACTATCACCGTGGTACAAGGAACTGGACCATAACATTATCACTCAGTTAAGATGATTCTTTATGATAGAAATGTTTTGCCAGATCACAGAGTATTTGTTTCCACATTGCACTTGAATTTTTTTGCAATTGAATTTTTTGCATGTGCAATGCACAAAAAAAAATGTAAAAAATAAAAATTTTATAAAATATTATTTATGAATTTATTGCAATTTTCTTGATATGTCTTTTTTGTACCATGTTCCTTTAGAACAATGGTTTCCAAACATTTTCTTTGAGAGGGTTGAAGGGAAATGACCACGGATTCAAAGTCAGAACGTCAACATCGATAACTCTCTCCCCCAATTTGCAGACCCTAGTTATTATATTCTTAATACTTAACATAATGCAAAAATATCACAATGATAAAATTGGTCAACAATTATTTATAATGATTTTTAGTGAGACTCATGCATGCAATTACAAGTACAGGGATCCTACAAAAAAACTCATGATATAAAAATTTCATTATGTACAAATGTCTATTTTTTTAAATTTTGTTATCCTAATTAGGAATAATTGCAAAGTATTTTCCCTTTCCCAATTCATAGGCAGAAGCACAAAAATGTATGCTGGGATTTCTTCCTAACCAATAAAATAGGCCAGTTCTCGGTGCCATCTCACTCAGTCCCAGTCTTCTGTCATGTCTTGAAGTCAGAATGCTATGTTCATTTATCTGAATTTGCTCTTTTGTGTCAGCCCCAATTCGCAGTTTGTGAACTTTTTGACATATTACTGTTGCTTAGTTTTATTAGTTTTATATATATATATATATATATATATATATATATATATATATATATATTGTTTGCTTGTTTTATATTATTTTTTACCTTGTTCTTTTCTTTTTGTCAATTCTGTTTGTTGGGCAATTCTGTCATTTATTTATATTTAAACACTGTGGGACAAAATCTAGATGTATCTTGTCACTGCAGCATCCTGTGGAAAGGCAGGAAAAAGAAAGAGAGAGGGTTTATGCATTTTCTTTTATACAGGGTGTGGTAGAAATACCTCACACACATACCTCCCACAAATATCTCCCAGATAATGGTAAGACATTGCCAGTAATGTCTTACCATTATGTAGGAGGTATATATGGGAGGAATTTCTGCCACCTACTGAGCATTAAGAAAAGGTAGGATAATCCTACAATATCATCCAATCTGTAAATATTAAAAAAAAGACAATGAAATATGCCCATAACAAATACGAATAGGGTGTTTAAACTGGTTCTCAGAATAAAGTGTAAGAAAATAGATTAAAACTTTGAGAAATTTTGGAAAATGAAGGAATTCTTGCAGAAAAAAAATCAGAAAATGTACTGGAAACAGTGCAGTGACTGTATTGTGCTTGTAAAATATTAGTAAAATGAGTGCACTCATCTATTTGATTGAGGTGGAGGAGTGTTGCTTCCAATCCAATAGGGTATGATTATTTATTGCAATTTAAATTACAATTTTGGCATGTGGCCGAAATGGAAATGGGGTGAGGCTGGTTTACACTATTCTAGACCCAGCTAATAAGATTCATGACCCATTTGTTCATTACAATTTACTCATTCACCATAAGAATTCATCTATCACCATTCAATCTGATATATACTACATATTCACAAAAACACCTATAACATAATCCAATAGGGAATGACTGAAAAATACTTTCTGATCCCCAATTTATAATCAGAAACACACAAATACATGCTGGAATTTCTTCCAAGCCAATAAAAAAGGCTGGTTCTCAGTTTCATCTGACTCAGTCCTGGTCCGCCTTGCCTTATCTGAATCTGAACTACTGCGTCAACCCCAATTTTTAGTTTGCAAACTTTTTGCCATGTTACTGTTGCTTTGCCTTATTACTATTAATTTGCCTTGCATATGTTGTTTGCTTGCTTTATAATATTTTTACCCTGTTCTTTTCTTTTATTTTTCATGTAGTTTATTGCAAACTTTGTCAATTCTGTTTGTTGAATGTTCTACCGTTTATTTACATTCAACATATGGCTACTCACTCTGCATACTTACACAAGCTTGTTCAATAAATTATTTGCTAATTAATGCCCTGTGAGTATCAAATTCTTCAAATTTTCTTTCCTCTTTATGCGTTCCAGCTTGTGAAGATTATATATTATTTTCTACCACTCAATTTAAATGAATTAGAATTTGTGCATGTGTGTATGTGCATATATATATATATATATATATATATATATATATAAAATAAAAAAGAAAGAACAGTAAGATATATAATCCAATATTCTTATTGATATTTTTTTATTTTTATTTTTACAAAACAGTGCTCAATGTAAATTTACAGAGCATAAATATTATAAATTAACTGATTTAAAATATGTTTTTTTTGCTACACAGTAATAACCATGTTTCAATAACTGAAGCTAAAAACTTCAAATTTAATTTTGTAATTAAATTAAAAGCATTAGTTCCATTTCATCTTCAGGCGAATATTAGAATTCCAATATTTGCTTGAAGATGAAACGGAACTAATGCTTTTAATTTAATTATTGAAAGTTTTTAGCTTCAGTTTTTGAAACATGGTTATTACTGTATAGCGAAAAAACATATTTTAAATCAGTTAATTTATAATATATATATATATTATCATACAGATAATAGATCCATTGGTATATAATCCAGATGAATCAGAGTAATATCAGATATTAAAACTCATTCGCAGAAAGCTCAATGTATTTATTATAACGGACCATATATTTTATACAACAAAATATCCAAAATTACCCTATACGCCAGCTACCCTCAGACCAAGACTCTCTACAAATGGTGTTTTTGGAATTTGGTTTAGAGAGAGTTGGTGAAAACGTATGGGCCCACTTAAGGGGACACCTCAGTTTAGATAAGGAATCTGGGTTAATGAGATGGACCGGGGTTTGGGGTTTATTTATCGCCAAGGCCTTTAGTTATATGTAAATGAATTTAGGTTCCTGCTGGTGAATTATATTATTATATTATTATACTAGGTGGTGGTGGATTTAACACACACACATACACATATATGTATACATATATATGCATGCACACATATACACACACACACACTCATATATGTACATATATATATATATATATATATATATATATATATATATTATTGTTATTATTATTATTATTATTATTTATATATATATTAAAATGTATACATTTTGTCAGGAAGACCAGCCGATATTAGCGTATATTTTAACGTAATTTCAATGAAAAAATAAATTGAATAACATATGTATTTTTTCTTTTCTCCTCAGTAATTTTATAATTTTAAACTTAATAGAGATTAAATTTAGATTTTAAAATTGGTAATTTTTTACTTTTAATTTTAATATCAAATTTTATCATATAATTTAATACTTATTGGTTAGAATAAATTTTGTTTTAGTATAACCCCAAATTTAAAGCTCTTAATAGCTATTATAACCTTACTTCATTGTCAAGTTTTTTGAATTCTCTTATACTTGTGTTTTGATTGGTCATTCTAGCTTATGTAACAGCGTTTTCCTCTTGTGAAGGATTGTTAATTAATTTGAAAATTTTAAAACCATTTATTCCACATTCAACATCTCTTGATAAGACACCTGAGGTGTTAAAACAAAATGGCTATTTTTGTAGTGATTTTATAACATATTTATGTTATAATTTTTAAATAAATAAATAATTATACATACATATATATATATATATATATATATATACATATATGTATAATTATTATGTGGGTACACACCTATGTGTATGTATATAATGTGTATATGTTATTGTGTATGTGTGTATTCGCATGTGTGTTTGAACATAGAAATATAGGTCCTTGCTAGATTAGATAATCGTCATATTTATTTTTTATATGTTTATATTTGATTTGTAACCTGTAGTCGATATTAAATTTGTCAAATTTTCTCAATTACGTGGCGGCCCTTTCAGTAAATGTCATTCAAGTTTACTTTCCTTTGCCCCATCTCTCTCTTCCACCTCGTCTTTCCCTCCCTCTTATTCTGATCTTATTCTGACCTTATTAGATTGTCTATGGTGTGTGTATGTCACCACGAAATGTATCTTTATGCATTAGACATCCAACAACATTCATATTTCTCTTACTTAAACCCCTTCCACTCACCTCTCCTAAAATTCTCTCTGTTAAGTTTTAATCTCCCTCATTTTCTAGTATGGTACCCCTCATGCTTACACTCTCTCTAAATTCTGTTTTTATTTCCAGAGTTTTTTCTGTTTTCTTTTTGAATTTGTAGGTCTGATGAATTGGATCATATTTACAATTCCAATGGAATAAATTATGACCATGGAATATTAGTGTTTAAGCCTTTTTATTATATATATATATATATATATATACATCTACACACTCTCCCTTTCCACCATTACATCTTATTTAAAGACCATCAACCTAACTTTGCTAGTAGTACACAGTCTAAACTAATAAATCCAACTAAAACTGAACTAGGTCTAATCTCAAAAAATATAATTTAAAAAATAACTGATAAACTACTAATTGCAATCTGTGCTAATCTTTGGAAAAAAATTGTCTGTTACTCTCAAATGGTTCACCAATATGAATAAGCATAGAACAACATTTATTAAGTGTGATATAATGGATTTCTATTCCTCTATCTCAAGGGATCTTCTAGTTAATAGTATCAACTTTGCAAAGAACCATATGATGATAATGAATAATGATACTAATATCATCTTAATGGCTAGAAAATCACTGCTAAGACTTAATAAGTCTACCTTGACTAAGCACCATAACAACGATTTTGATGTCCGCATGAGATTGGATTGTAAATCCAGGTTTTGGATTTAGTATATTTTTATATTTTAGATATGCTTAATAGAATCATAAAACCAGAACTAGTGGGTCTATATAGAGATGATGGACTCATCTTCATCTATTAATAGTAATGGTCTGCTAAATCTGTGTATATCTGTGTCATTATCTACATAGATCTGTGTGCGTGTGTCACTACATACATAGATCTGTGTGTGTGTGTCACTACATACTTAGATCTGTGTGAATGTGTTACTACATATATAGATCTGTGTGTGTGTGTGTATCTCTACATACATAGATCTGAGTGTGTCACTACATACATAGATCTGTATGTGTCATTACATATGTAGATCTGTGTGTGTGCGTGTGTCTATACATACATATTTATTTATTTTTCTCTATATTATTTCTAACAAGCACATCCTTTTTCAAAGATCCTTTAGCAATGAATAAACTGCTCCTACAATAAAAATGCTCTAAAATATAAAATCTGCCAATAAGAAAGCACATGGTTAACAGGTTATATATTTAGGAGATCATTAATGAAGTTCTAAAAGTTGTATGAAAAAGAACATTATATAGACAGCAGAAGATTAAGTAAAGGACTCAGTTTGAAATTTCTTTGGTCTTACTGACACCTGAAGAAGGCTAGATGGCAATGTGGCTGAAACATTGTAACAATCACAATGGTGAGGACTTTTCTCCAGTTCTAAATATTATAAATATTGAAAACTCCTAATGCCAGAAATTCCAACAAAAAAATTCTCTTTGCTTTAACATGACAATTTCACCTTCCTTTCCCTATGTTCAAAGTGATTTGCCAGCAAATCAATAAATTCTCGAGAGAGCAAAACTTGAAGTCTATCATTTCTAAGTAAAGAAAATGAGAATTGTATTTCATGCTCTTGGAAAGAAGTAGAACTCTCCAAAAAAAAAAAAAACTATGTCATTCTCTGGCACACTAGTTAATATTTTCTGTTGTCTGCTTTCTTCATTGTGCTTTAGTATGACAAATTCTCTTCATGTTTGTATGAAACTTTTCTGCATGTTGACACTAATAAAAAGCCGTGAAGTTTGAAATATTGCCTTTCAAAAATGGGTTACGCAGTGCAAGATTTCTAATTATCGGGTAAAAGAGAGAGAAAAAAGAATCCTGCCATCTACAGAAGTCAAAAGAATTCAGTTCATTGCAAGTTAGTGATTTTATGAATTCTTAACTTGAGAAATTGTCACTATTCACAGATTTTACAAAGGCTGATCACTCATTTCTTTGCATCTGGAGATGTATTGAATACAAAATGTTGCATATTTATCAAAACATCAAGTGAATATTTTATACAACAGTAAATATATATATATTACACACACATATATAACATATATATATATATATTATAT